CTCATTTTAAGACCATAAGTATTGGTCCGGCCGGGGCTCGAACCCTCGACCTCCCGCATTACACAATCCGGCGCTCTAACCAATTGAGATAACCGGGAGGCCGTTGGCTCATGTTGCCTTTTGTATGTAGCCCAGATGTTGATAGAACCCAACTATTGTCTAACAGGCGAGGTTCGAACTTCGTTGAAGCCTTAAATGGTTTTGGGATTTTTTTTCTGCGATTTGTTTCGATACAGTTCACCTGTGAATATCATCCGTTATCCATTCACTTTTTTAGAAATCTAATGATAGCTTAACAGGATTAGCCAATCAAAACATGGACCGTAGTGATGATCATTCAAGAGAACTTCTCAAGCAATGTTCCCTTTGAGAGCCATTCATTATCACAGCCTGATCCTTACCACTGTTGATTGTGATCCGCATTTCTAATTATTTTTTTGCTGACAAAAAGCGAACACACTTTAACTAAAATGCAAACATATCATGTACAGGTGTTTGGAGGCTGGTCCAAGTACTGCTCCAAAGGGGAGTTTAACTGCGGCCTCAACTGATGAACAAGAAAATTGGGCACATGCCAGTTGATAAATGTCAAAGGAAAGCATTCGGACGAGGAGAACACATTTCATCAATATGGCTGTATACATTGTATGACATGATTATCTTCTCGCCATCCGCCGCTCGTAAAAAAAGAATTTTTGTTTGAATGCAACTATCCCAGGTGTCTCCTTACCAATCGCAAGTGATAAGTTGCTAAAAAAAGTAAGACTGGTGCCATCAAAGTTGACACTAGATGAATTCAAGAGTGATTAATGGCTTCTACCACTGAGGCGAATCAGTACACCTTACGATGCTTCTTTTTAAAGATGTAACGATTCAAATACATGACTGTGAATAACGTCTCTGACGAGTTACAAAAGTCGGTTGCAAGTCGATCAAGCTGCCCCATGACCGACCTCTTTCCCCTGTTTCCCTTTCTACAGTTCTCCTTCAAGTTTTCTTGGGCGGCCTCTCTTTCGTTGGATGTCGGGAGTCCATCGAATGGTACCTCTAGGCAGGGCTTGCGGAGTACATGACCGATCCGCTTCCATTTTCCTCTCTAGACCTGGTGTTCATTACCGTTTGCCTTATGCAAATAGTATGATAATATACTCATAAATGGGTTTGAGAAGCACTTAAAAGTTAAATGGGAATATACTTCCCGATTGGGCGTAGCATTGTTTGTATTTAGACATCTTCTGATATAATAATTAAGAAACATTAACTTCTAATGCTGAGCAAATTGGCTTAATTTTGCGCCAGGCCTCGCGCTGCCAAACACTTCTCTGCCCAATCTGCATTTGTGATAATTGTTCATTTGTGATCATTTGAGAAACGCTCTGTTTTAGAAGTGCGTCATACAAACAGTTAGGCAATAAGTTTATTGTTTAATCTGCTAAACGAAAAATGCTGAAAGCAAAAGTTATTTTGTTTGTTTGTGGAGTATTTCACAAAAGTTAACAAGTTTCATTAAAATCGGTTTAATCGTGTATTAAAAAATCTGGAAACTTTCCCACACCATGAAACAAAGCTTTTTTCATTCCGTAGTATTACTTTGCACTTCCTTACTGTGCATAATTTCAAACGTGATTAGGGCGCACGCAATAAAAAATGGCAGCTTTTTCTCTATGGTCGGAGCTCACCAGAGAGGTAAATAGTTATTTTCTCGCAAACGAACTCAGTGACTTTTTTCGTTTCTTGGAATTGAGTATTGACTTCCTTTTCGTCACATAAATACAAACCAATTATCAGTGTAGGAGAGAAACAATTTTCAGACACGTGAATTTATCAAGCACTCGAGAATTAGTTGTCGTGTTGATATAGGAATTATATGAGTATCTACAAGATACTGCTGCTGCTAAACGAGTACCTGCACCCCCCTCCTTTTCTTAATTTCAAAATTTACTCTTCTTTAAGATAAACAGACAATAGGTAACGCTTGACAAAATCTCATTGCACGTTCTATTTGAGGGAAATAACGTTAAGTGAAACCTTTTTTTTCTGTGTGGCATGGCCTCTTTAACACAAGTGTTCAGTAAGTTTCAACAGTATTCCATGCATGATCGGGCAACCAACACCAAATCACAAAAGTCGTTAAACGGTTTAATGCCGCTTGATAAGAAACTATTGACGATAAAAATGAACTATAAAAATATGACGATAATGACGATAAAAATATATATATATATATATGTACGAAGTATAAAAAATTTTTTTGCAGGTGTAAACAAACAATAAAACTACAAAGAAAGTGCTAGTAAAAAGCTAAATAAAGACCTTAGCACGAATTGAATCAGACTGTACATTGAGAGCAGGTCTTAGCTTGTGAATAAAAAACATCTCATTATTTAGCTTTTACTAGCACTTTCTTTATAGTTTTATTGTTTGTTTACACTTGCAAAAATTTTTTTATATTTCGTACATGTATATACACACATATTTACCGTATTTCGTTCCATTCACTTGAGAATGACCGAAGCACGGTCGAAACGTCGTGTTTTACCGTTCATTTTTATCGTCAAAAGTTTTAAGAAACCCTTGCTGATAAGAAACACATGAAAAATATTAACATTTGAAGCAGAACATGTGCCATGCCTGATTTCAATTGCGATCTTTCTTTTAGCATGGTTTGATCATGTGGCATAAACAAACATCACGTGACGATTGCCACACAACAAATAATTGTATTCCTTGATTTACGGTATGCGTTGTGGTCAAGTCAAGAAAGACCAGTTTATCAGGCATCAAAACGAAGAGACTAATCGAAATTCACTTGTAAATTCCGTTAATTCTTCTGCGAACGCTACCTATATTCTGACGTAGAGCTCCTAAGAAGGCAAAGCAATTAAGGAAAGACTCTATCTGCTTCTACTGAGTTGAACGCTGCACATTTCAAACTCGATAAATCAGCAACGCAAGCGAATTTCCAACTGATGCTTTTATGATACGAGTTTAAGACTCACCGCTCAACTTCATTTGCCGCGAGGTTGGATAAGTTGTCGAAGAAGAAAGAAGGAGAAAGTTTGCAATATATGTTTCAAATCGTCGGCTTATTAAACAACAACTGCAAATCAATTTCGTTATCGCCGAAGCGGTTCATGTTGCCCAACTGCTCAAGGGACAGACACCGATTACTGCAGTAAGATCATCGCATTTAATTATTCTTTGCAGTATTAAACCGATAGCATGGGAAAGATTTTTTCGTCCATTCGCAGACGCTCGCAAGACGAACGTGAAGGGGTAAGCATTTTTCTTCTCACTAAGTCTTATTAGGAACCCCAGTTAGGTAGGAAAAACATCAGTCTGTAACCGACAACAATACTTCTTTCTCTTATCATCACCCAGACGATCAGTTTATACGCGCTTGGTTACGAGCGCGTATCAATAAACCTTGGAGAATAATAACACGTAATATGTTTTACCTCGTGTTTTTCATACCTACTCAAGAACTGGTGTACTGATTACACTCGTTTTAGACTTAACCGCTTTCGAATTTAATGTTTAGTTCCCAAAGATTCTTAGAAATTGGACAGGATGCGAGGAAGTAAATAGACCGTTTTAGCTATCTGGTCACGTGGTTTTAAATGGGTTTTAAATGGGTTTTAAATGGTTTTAAATGGTTTAACAATTCAACATGGCTGTTAAATATGTGCCGCATTTCGTGGGCGAACTTCCTTCATCTCTCACCGAAATTCTCATATTGACGGATAAATCAGCACTCGAATGACTATAGCAGTTTGGAAATCGGTGACAATCCAAATGGAGTCTTTAACTGAGATTGTAAACAACCTCAAGCTGCAAAGACAAACTTGTGTGCACGTACACGATCTTCCGAGATCGGAAAAATGCATGAAACAGGCTTAAAGGGGAAGCAAAAGTGTTACAAAAAAAGGTTTTTTTTGGGGGGGGGGGAGGATTTGAGGCTAGAGTGAAGCTATATTCGTTTTGAAAGCTGTAAAGTTTTTTTCGTACCACGATAATTGGTACGCCTTTGTTATATGCTTGACAGCCAATCAAGGTTCTCAACGGGTGAATGACCGGCAGTCCGATATTTTTCTGAAAATTTAACCAGTTAAGAGAACCTACACAATCCAAACTATTATTCGTTGATGAGGAACTACTAAGCGATCCCGAAGTGACTTATAAGTCTCGTGCTAACGCTCCTTGGACTCAGAGTGTTGTAGATGTTGACACTTTGAAATTGAGTGAGATCGACTGTCGATAATGGTTCTCAAATACTTAAATGACCGGCGATCGGAAATGTTTCGAAAAACTTTAGAAAACGAGACAACCTAAACGATCCAAACTATTATATGTCGATGCCTGCGACTAATAATCTTCACGAAAAACGACAATTTCATATCGTCTGCAACTTCAGTTCGACTCTGGCAAAATAGATAGTAGAGCGTAGGAACTATCCAGAAGATGAGCCAAGTTACAAAGCTAAATTTACAACATTCTTTCTAAGTTTTGCCTTTTTACACAGTCGACTAGACTTAGAGAACCTTAACTGTAAAAAGGTTGTAAACAATCTTTAAAGTGCACCAAAACCCAAAAATGTTTTTTCGCATAACGAAATAAGCGTATTTTTTTGAGTATTTCTGTGCAAAAATTCTTTATATTTGCTCAAATCTTCAATTTTCTGCACCCAGTCAAAATACGGAAAATCGGCCGCCATCTTGCCCCACGACCGAGTTTAAAGAGGAATGGCTCTAGCGGGTAACGGGAAGTCAAATCGAGAACACGAAAGTCTGCATTTCACACATTTTCACTTTTTTGTGAAGGTTGTAGTCGATATTGTCCGAAAATATGCCGACTAAGTGTGTTGTCTTGGAATGTATGAAGCGCGATACCCTCTTGCAAATTTCGCACGTTGCTACATCCTTCTACAACACACTTAGTCGGCATATTTTCGGACAATATCGACTACAACCTTCCCAAACAAGTGAAAATGTGTGAAATGCAGACTTTCGTGTTCTCGATTTGACGTCACATTACCCGCTAGAGCCATTCCTCTTTAAACTCGGTCGTGGGGCAAGATGGCGGCTGATTTTCCGTATTTTGACTGGGCACAGAAAATTGAAGATTTGAGCAAATAAAAAAATTTTTGCACAGAAATACTCCAAAAAATAAGCTTATTTCGTTAAGCGAAAAAAAATTTTGGGTTTAGGTGCACTTTAAAAATTTTCCTCTGCGAACAGTTTTTGTAAATCCTGTTTTATTCTTTGATACGTTTTGTCTGATTATAAATTGTTGTAGACTTCTTTAGTTAGTTTTAAAAGTTAACAGTAACACTTCATGGGCCACCGTAGGTTCCCGGTACCACTCAGGCGGAGAAAATGTGAGTGTGATCTCATCTCATACATGTTGTGAGAAAGACTTTAAAAAATCACTTGATGGCAATCATGATAGAGTATCTTTCACAATTTTTGAGTACTCCTTTATTTGAAAAACTGCGGCTCAACATAGAAACGAGGCTAATAATAAAATGATTATTTCAAAGCTTTGTTTGTATATTACAGCAAATAAATCAGTGCAAGTAGCGTTAAACAGCATTTCCAAACAGGGTTTTTGCGAAAAGCCAAACTTTATTGATTTGATTTGAAAGAAAAAAACTTCAATGAAACCACGCAGTCAAACTGTAAAAGCATCATGGGTAAGTCCCAAGGTGGCGAAATGCTTCAAAGTTCTTGTCGTTTCTTCTCCCTGCCGTTTTATGACGTAGAGAACACAAAAATAAAAACTTTAAATATTTTTTCTGCTCATCTGCGAAAACGCTTACGTACAAACAGTTGGCGATCGAATATTATCAACATCACAGAGAAACTTGACTGCTATGTACATTCTTCGGTCTTCGGTTTATGGATGCCCCCTCTGTCAGTGCTATCGATAGAGATTATACCCGACCAGGCAAAAAATAAACAAGTGCCCATTCTTGGATGGTAAATCTGCCTCGGATGAAACCAATTTCTTCAATAACATATCTCAAAGCTACGACAAACTGTTTGGATTTATTCGATTAGTTGTATTGGAAAATCCCAGGCATATTAAGATGGTCGATCTGAGAGAGAAGCTAACATACTACATATGATCATACACGCGGTCATCTATGGTAACTACTAAAATATTCGAATCATCAAAGAAACATTTCTGAAGGAAGTAAGAGACCAAACTCGGTGACTTATTGCAATTTAAAGATCTCCTGGATGATAATAAGCCTCTTGTTCTATCCAAAAATCTCTCAAAGGCTCAACTAGCCACTGAGGGAATTACGGTCATTTCGCAGAGTTCACACAGGGTTCGTTATCGGTTTAGATGGTTTCGCTAGCGTCTCAGGTCAGTTGGCTGACGTATTATAGGTCATTTCACTAACGTATTAGCTAATTCCAGTAACGTCTCTTTCTAGTTTTAATTTCTTTGAAATGGCGACAATTGAAATGTTGTACCAAAAACATACGTGTAAGATTGGCCAAATTTGGACTGGGATCGGCCTGTTGAAGCTGTTTCAAACCGACTTTGCCGGTTGATGTATCGAATTGACTTCAATTTGTCTTGAATCGACTTGTTTTAAAATTGGCTTTCAATTTTTATTGAACTTCCCTACGACTTTTCGGTCGATTAGAATTCGATCAAGTTCGGTAGCTTTGGCAAATCGGCTCGATCTAGTCATTCCTTTAGTCTGTTTCAGGTATCATATTTCCATACCTAGAGCATTGAGGTGTTTTAAGGTTGACTCCGCAAAACACAGCTCCTACGAACTTGCGTAATTCTTTTTCAATTGAGACAGAAAGGGCTAAAACGAAGAGAAAAAGAAAAAAAAACCACGAATGTAAAGCCAGGAATACCAGATCTTTTTGAGACCTGAATCGGGTAAAAAATTGAGATACTTGAAATCTTGGCCACATGCTCTTTATACCTCCATGTCTTTTTTTTTTTTTCTTTTTCACATAGGAGGTAAATGAACCTAGTCCTCTAGACCCCGCATCGTATCCAGCTGCCTGGTATATCTACGGGTTGGCAAGAGAGGTAAGTCTTTAAAAGTAATCAAGT